TCAACCTGTATGCAGAGCAGATTATCCAGGAGGCTGGGCTCTGTGAGGAGAAGTGTGGTATCAGGATTGGTGGAAGATCTATCAACAATCTGTGTTATGCAGATGACACAATCCTGCTTGCTGAAACTGAGGAGGACCTGAAGTGCTTGCTGCAGAGGGTCAAGGACTATAGCCTTCAATATGGATTGAGGCTCAATATCAAGAAGACAAAGATTCTCACCACTGGACCAATTGGCAGCATCAGGATGGATGGTGAAGATATTGAGATTGTTCACAGCTTTAGTCTGCTTGGTTCCACCAATCAACACTCTTGGCACCAGCAGGCAGGAAATTAAAAGATGTATTGTGATGGGAAAGTCTGCTGTTAGGGACCTCTCTAAAGTACTGAGGAGCAATGGTGTCTCTCTGGAGACTAAGGTGCATCTGATACAGGCCATGGTCTTTGATATCACTTGTTATGCATCAGAGTTGGACAATGAGTAGGGAGAATAGAAGGAGAATTGATGCCTTTGAGCTTTGGTGTTGGAGAATATTGAGGGTACCATGGACTGCTAAGAAAACTAACAGATTCATCCTTGAGAGGGTTAAACTGGGCTAGTCCTTGAAGGCAAGGATTCTGAGGCTTCATCTGACATGCTTTGGACATGTTGTTAAGGAGAGACCGGTCCTTGGAGAAGGACATCATCCTTGGGAGAGTGGAGGGCAGGCGCAGGAGGGGAAGGCCCTCTATGAGGTGGATTGATTCAGTGACTGGGGTAATCAGGATGGGTGTATCGGAGACAGTGAGATTGGCACAGGACAGAGCAGAGTCTAGGGCTGTTGTATATAGGGTCGCTATGAGTCGCAAGTGACTCCACAGCACATAACAACAACAACAATTTTCATGTACTGATAGACATTGGGTTCCCCATCCCCAGTTTTGAGCCATTACAAAGTTGCAATAATCTTCATAGTCAGGGGTTCCTTATAATTTCTCCTGGGTAAATCCCTACAAATGGAGTCTCATGGTAGGTGAATATTTAACTTTTTCAGAAATTGTCAAATTGATTTCAGATGTTGTTATTCCATTTTACATCTTCACTGGCAGTATGATAGTTCCAATTCCTGACTTAGCGAGTCTTTTTAATTGCAGCCATTTTAGTGAGCATGTAATGGGATCTCAGTATAGATTTAACTTGTTGTTAGGTGCTATCAAGTCAAGTATGACCCATAGTGACCTTATAAATAAAAGATCTGAACCCTACCCTATCCTGTGCCATCCTCACAATCTCTGATATACTCAAGTCCATAGCTGCAGTCTGTGTCAGTCTATCTCATTGAAATGTCTTCCTCTCTATCATTTACCTCCACTTTTCTAAGCATGATGTTTCTCTGCAAGGAAGTCTCTCCTAGCAACATGCCCAAAGTATGTGAGACAAAGCTTTGTCATCTTTGCCTCCAAGGAACATTCTGGCTGTACTTTTCCAAGAGGTATCTGTTCTTTTGGCAGTCCATGATATATTCAGTACTCTTCTTCAACATCACAGCTCAAAGATATCAATTCTTCTTCTGTCATCCTTATTCATTGTCCAGCTCTCAGATGCATAGCAAGTGATTGAAAAGGCCATGGCCTGAATCAGATACAACTTAACCTCCAAAATGACATCACTGCTCCTCAGTAATTTGGAGAGGTCCCTGACTGTAGACTTTCCCAGTGCAATATGTCTCCGGATCTTGTCACTATTGGTAGCAAGGGTATTGATTGTGGATTCCAGTAAGATGAAATAATTTAAAATGTAATTTTTTTCTCTCCATCTATCATGATGGTGGCCTAGTAGTACGGAGCTATGGTGACAACCAAAGTCAGGCAGTTTGAGTTCACCCGCTGCTCTGCAGAAGAAGGATGGGCACTCTCCTTCTGTGTGATTTACTGACTCTGAAAACCTACTAGAGAGTCAGCAATGGGTCGGTTCTGACTTGATGGTACACAATCACAAGAACAGATTTATCATACATTTTCAAATGTCCAACAATGTTGATCATTCTCTTGTGCTTATTTGCCATCTGTATATTTTTTTTTGTCTGTTAAATTCTTTTATCCATTCTGGAAAATGGAATTGCTTTCCTTTTTTTTTTTTTTTAATTTTGTGTACGTGTACCGTCAAATCAGATCTGACTGGTACAGGAGGATATTGCGCCTCCTTCTCCGGCAGAGCGTCTGGTGGATTCGAACCGTGTTCCTCTGGGATTGCAGTGCAGTTTCTTGCCACTAGGCCACCAGAGCTCCCCTGGAATTGCTTTCTTATTATTGATAAGACTTCTTTATGTATTCTATATATATATTTTATATATAAGCTCATTGTCAGATATATGTTTCATGAAAACTTTTCTTCCATTATGTGGCTTGCATTTTCATTTTTATGTGTTTTTTAAAGAACAAGGTTCTTAATTATGATAAAGTCTGAGTTGTTGATTTTTTTCTATGTCACACTTTTTTTTGGTCCTATTTAAGAAATCTTTGCCAAACCCAAATTCACTAAGATTTTTTCCTATATATTTTTCCTACTTTTTTACCATTTTAGCTCTTACATTTAGGTCTATGACTCATCCTAGGTGAACTTTCACATGCAATGTATGGAACTTTCAATATCTTTCTTTCTCTGTGTGTTTATGGTTATCCAATTGCCAGGAGCTCTTGGTTTTCCAGTGGATTAAATGTTGGGCTGCTAGCCAAAAGACTGGAAGTTCAAGTCCACCAGTTACTCTATAGGAAAAAGATGAGGCAATATACTTCTATAACAATTGTACAGCCATAGAAACAGTGTGGGGACCTTCTATTCTGTCCTATAAGGTCACTTTGAATTGGCATAAACTTAACAGCAGTGGGTCTGTTCTACTGTTCTAACCTCATTTGAAATGCCTTGATTCCTCTGACAAAAATGTATGGGTCTATTTATGAATTCCCTATTAAATTTTATTGGCCTATGTGTCTATCTTTATGTCATTATTACAATGGTTTCATTATAACTTTGTTATATATATATTAGGAAAAATATTTTAAATGTTAGTTTTCCTAAACATGAACGAAATCTTTAATGAATATTGAAGAATGAAATAAATAATGATAAAATTAAAAGAAATGTATTTAAATAAAGCAGCATCAACTGCTCTGCATAATTGAAAAATCCTGGCCAAGTAACATAGTCCATCTAAATAACATGCAACATCCTATTTTGATGACTGGGGCCTTACAAGCTTGTTAAGCAGCCATGTAAGGTGTAACAATTGGCATCTCCTTGCCCAGAACAAAAAGGAAGAAAATAAAACAAAGATGCATAGAAACAATTAATCCAAAGGACAAATGGACCACATGGCCCTCAACCAAACACCAGAAAAACAATATGTACTCAGTTACCACTGCTGACCACTCTGAAAGGGATCGCATGAGAAAGCCCTAGATAGAGCAGGTTGAAAAGTGTGGATGGCAGCGTCCCTTTTCAGCAGGAAGTAGCTAAGAGAATACGCCATCCCCTTTTCCTTATGACTCAGGGTGAAGTCTCTCTCAGGGAGGAGTGATAGGGAATG